CGGGAAAAAGTAGAACGAGTCGGGTAAACATTTACAATGATAAAACTTGCGTAAAACGTACACTCTAATAGAACGCAATACAATAAACTGATCACTGACAGTCGGCCGCGTAAGGTCGCGCGTTCTTGTCTCGCTAATGAACGAGGCTCGCAAGAGGAAAAAAAAGCAAGCAAGCGCGCACACATCTCATTTACGAAGAAGGGAATATTTTACGCGCGCGAGCTTTCGCGATACGAGCTATTTGTATTTGCGCGATATGTGCATGCAGCTCGTCGTTCATACACAGCAAGTATACGATATACGCGTTAGTTTGTGCTATCTGTCTATGGGTTGAGTATAAGTGTGTACGTGTGTGTGTGTGTGTGTGTGTGTGTGTGAACGGGGGTGTGGCGAACCCAAGGAGTGGCGATCACATATAATATACAGACTCGTACACATACACACACTCGGGCGTCGGGGAGAATGTGCGCGTCTCGGTGGTGCTGCACGATGCTTCACGCCGTATATATGCGTGCAGAAAACAACATTAAGTGATTTACAGCTGACGTATAGGACTGGCAGATATGTACGGCACGCGGGGGTGCATCGAGCGCGAGCAATATATATGCGTACTTTGAACGTACTATACGTCGGAGCTTTACTCTCTGTCTCTCTTCGATGCGCCGCGCTCGCTCACGGGTCACGCCAATGAGCAGCAGCTTCGGACAAGACAGCCGCCCTGCCTCCCTCTCTCCGCTCCACGCCGATATATTTATAACTCGGCGCGATCGCTATCTCTAATGCTGCTGCTGTTGCTGCTACCCGTGGCTCGAGCGAATTGCTGCCCGGAGCGATATAACACGGTACGGAGCGAGCGAGCGAGTTTATAACGAAGTGACTCCCGGGCAATGAAGCTCGAAAGTCGACACGGTATACATCGTATAAACCCTATTTAGCGGGTAATTCTCGCGCGCGCGCGACTGACCTCGAGTTCTTTGGCGCTTGAAAAATTGCGAGCAAATATGAACGTGGGGAGAACTCGCGATGGAAGACAAACATCGTATAATATTGACACTCGAGTGTCAAGTGGTTGGAAGAGAGCCCACGAATACCTTGTTACACGCGAGTAGCGCCGTATAGGCGCACTCTAATTTTTACGCTCTTTTTCTCATCGAGTCTTTCTCCTCGAGTAGCCACTCGAGCGTGCGCGGCCACTTTTAGCGCTGCACGCCATGCCAGTAGTAGTAGCGAGTAATCGACCACATTGATTCAACTTGTGTGTGTACGTCTGAGCGGGCGCGTTCAAACTGCCGTGCAACGAGCGCACTTACGTACATCGATATTTGTACGAGCGAGGATCAATTCGCGGTTATTAAAATCTGCTTCTTTTGGATTTTACGGCTATACGGCTATGGCGGGCGGCGCTGGCACATCTATTACTCGCGCGCACATGACAATATGGTATAGGGCGGGTATTATATACGTAATGAAAGTGCTCCCCGAGTATACGTCGACTCGAAATGATTATCGCAGATATGGCGTTGCCCCACGCACGCGTTTTATATTCCAATACGTGCACCTTCACATTTGCCCGATTGCGCCTCGCTTACATATATATGCAGATGTGATTGTATGGAACAAAAAGATATAAATGTGCTTCGTGTTTATGGCCGAAACGATCTGCGCGCTTACGTGATTGCGAAAATGTGAATCTACGAATGATTGTGGATCGATTTGCGTTTCTAGCTATTCACGTTTGCAAATTGTAGGTGACATGCTCGCGAGTTATACTTGATACAAGTGGTAAGTGAGAAATTAAACATCTTTATAATTTGCATTTTAAGGTATTCAATTGTTATATATGAATATTACGCAACTCATTCGCAATTTAGAATTAACGATAAATTTGATATTGTGTATTGGGGATCTAAATAGTTTTCCATTTTCAATTTTTCAATATTGTTCTAAATATTTCAAGTTGCACCGCTACGTTTGAGAGATTTGGGTCAAATTTTTCCATCGCACATTTTTCGCATTGTAGTACATTTCATTAAGATGTTCTTTATTTCTCAGGTTGCATTAAAACTCAATCAATTAGATTTAAAAATGAAAAGAGCCGAAATTATTCGTTATGATCTATGCACTAATCTTGGAATGCACGAAGTCGTCTTAATTTTTCTAAAAGTCGATGTAGATTGTTCTCGCATGTTAGCGCTCGGCATCGCACCTTCGAACATATTGTACAAATTTCTGCATAGAAAAATCACACACGGATAAATATCGTTTGTACTATTCTCTTTTCACGCAAAGGCACACCAACACGTGCATATATAATATAAACTCATGTCACGCTCGTTAGCGTAGAACAAGAAAAAAAGGGAAGAAATTATTATAATCGCAGATCAAATGCACGAACTCGCGCGAGCCGGACGAGCTTTTTAATCCCCGTCGCGCATGAATGTACGGTAGCCTACGAGCGAGTTTGTGCGCGAGTTCGTGCATGGGCTAGGCGCCGGCGCGTGGGGGCCAAAGATAATGTCGTGTAATTAACCTAGCGCACCGGAGGCTTTGTGATAAGTCAGTGCTCGCGCGCAAAAGCGTATACCACGCTGCATGCAGTGGCCCTCGGTCGGCCAACTCTCCCGCGTGACCTGTGCAAAATTCCAGCAGCACTCGAGGAGCCAAAAGAATGGATGGCGAGCCTTTGTGCGAGGACGAAAAAAACGTACGTGTTTATTAACTCGCATTTACCGATTGCACTTGCGCTAGCTGAACATTTTTAAAACTGTGACAGTAAGATAGTCGGCGCCCCGACACCGATACAAATATAGACCTTATTAAAATTGCTAAGGACTTCGTAATGGCATTGTGATCCGTCCGTGACATTAAAGCGATTCACGCTTCGATCGCTCGGTTACATTATTTACCTGTGTCGAGCTTTCTATATATGACGCGCAGTCGGGGATATATATCAAAGTCGTGTACGCATACAAGCACAAAGTAATTAATCGTCAAGACTAAGAGGCAAACCAAGCAGAAAGACGTGAAATCGCATGTATATACATTATCTGTACGTCTATATCAAAGAAAAGATGGGCCGAAACAGTCGAGAGAGAAAGCTCGATGCGGTTCATGGCTGGACAGGCAGGATCTATAGATCTGTTCGTCCGATATTCCACGGACGTTTCTCTCTCTCTCTTACACTCTCACCCTACATATACGGTACAGCGAGTTCGCGTAGAAAACACACGACTACAAACACGCGAAACGTCCATACGTTTGCGGATACAGCTATATAGACCAAAGGAACAGACGTCTGCCCGGTATAAAGGATAGATCTGCTGTGCCTGTATATATATACGGCATATAAACGGACTATCCAGCCGGGAGGATAAAGCTCGCGCGATTATAAATTCTAAGGCTAATTTCTTATTTGCTTTATCTTTTCCTTTTATATAAACTACGCGTTTAGATAAATTAAAGCTTGTAGAGAGCGAGCGGCGTGTCGAGCATGTTCACGGGGCTTGCAGCTGAGAGAACATGCGACTGGCGTTTTTTCGAACCCCAAAAATGTACACGCGACGTTCGTTATTCGCTAAACAATTATTTGCATATCCATGCAGAAAGCAGACGATAAATCAAGTACCGTAGCGAGGCAATGTATCGTTGGTCTTCGGATAAATATAGCGTGGCGCATAGCTGTCAAAAGAAAGCCGATGCTACATTTATATAATATGAAATATTTATGGCCGCGGATCGCACGGCGCTGCTGCAACTGCGAGCAATATTGAGTAATCGAGTAACTTTGGTTGAGATCAACTTTACCTTTTGTTGTAACATTAAAAATTGACGCGGCGTTCGGTGAATTCTTAGACACGCGTCATTACTGCAGTCGTCCGTATCTTTCTTGTCAGTGCCGATTGTCTCGGCATTTTGATCCCTTTAAAAATAAAATGCCTTCTGGGGGGGACGAAACGTATCAAACAATTAGGCGGGATGAAGCTTCCGAAATATATAGAAATGAAGCGACGAGCGAGGGTGTACTGGTACACTCAATCGTTGTTAAAGCCTAACAACAAGTGGCAATTTTGCGACTTGATAAGTAAAAGTACGATTACAATAGTTGCGAGTTCAGAGCTTACTTCCTACTAAAATCACCCCGTGTAGCGAGCACAGTTACTGAGTGGCGAATCGGGCGAGCGGGAGGAGGGTGAGGGGCGTAATAGGACGAGTATACTCCGTGGATAGCATCACCTCCACAAGTTTTAAATGCATGATTTGACACGGCTTGGAGATTTTTCAAGAGCACATCTTTTTTAAATATCACGCGTGACATGAAATTCAAATGTTCCGCGTCTTGAAATCCTGACACAATATCGATTAAAAAGCACATAAGTTATAGTGTATATTCAAGTAGTTGAACGATGAAAATAATCGCAGCCATTACATTTGTATTGAGCTTCCTATTAAAAATTTGATTACTTCTGTTCTTATGGACGCGTGTCAATAGAATGAGATATTGTCCAATATTTCAAAATTCTAATAATCTGGCATTTTCGTCTTACATTAAAGGTTAAAAGCTTGCGTTTTACAATAACGTATAGGGGCAAATGTTCCAAAACATTACTTCAATCTGTAAAAAAAGTATCTGAAAAATTATTAGAAATTAGTTTTTTCTAAAAATTGAAGAGGTTTTCTGAAATATTTGCGCTGAAATTGGTAAAATGGAACAGATAAATCTAAAACAAATAGCATTAGGATTAGAGAAAAGTATAAAATGTACACTCAAAAGATAAAATGTCGTTTTCCTTGAATTTTTGGAATGTTACTTGCATTTCATTCAATCATTCATAAATTTGATAACGTCTTAATTTTATTAGCATTTATGTATAAAAATGAAAGAAATCACAAATCTATTGTCAGCAGTTTTCCGATCGTCAACTTGGCCCAGAGAATCAAAAGTAATCGTAAGTAAAGTGGGGTAGAGCCCTATGGGCAGTTTGTCGTGGAACGATGTTGATCATTAAGCTAACTTTAGCTTGAATCAGTCGACTGCTTACGACGCTATTGACAGCACACGTAAACAAAGGTAAGCCTAGCACCAATTTCAATTATCATCAAACAGAGTAGTATATCATCTCGATATTCTGAGATTTTCTCTTCTTTTTTGTTTGTCGTACAGACAATGTCGCACCCAGGGAAAATCCTTGCGTTGCTCTTGGTGGTGAGCCTCGGTGCTGAAGCATCGGCCAGTAGCTCGGAACCGAACTTATTTTTTGGGCGTCAGTCCTACAAGAATATGAGTTGGGTGCATGTCAAGTGCACGGAGCATCTGCCTGACCAAAACCGTACCAAGTGCGAGTTGCGCATTTACAACATGACCTTGCCCTCATTTCAGTCGTTGGCCACGACTTGCCCCCACGAGTTCGAATCGGGGCGCAACCCTTTCAAGCCCGACTCCATGCAGGTGATTCGCTTCGGCGACAGCAAGGCCATTCTGAGCTGGCAGGCGGACAGCACACGCACACTTCTATCTGGCTGGCGACTCGCCGTCGTACACGTTGAGGACACAGTCTGCAGGTGGCACCATACCCCCATGTCACTGATCAACTGGAAGTTCCAGCCCGTGAAATTCATCGTGCACAAGGATAGATTTAGCGTGGTGATCTACAGCGAATTTCCGCATAATCCGTGCGCGATACCGAACTCGGGCCGAGACGTGCCGAGGTGTGTGATCCACTTCAACAACAAAGCCGTGCCTTCCGGCCCAGCCCAATTCTGGTTTTATCAGGACGAACGGGACGATAACATGATACTGGAGCCGTTGGAGTATGAGAATCCGGAGAGCGGTTACCTGCTCATCGACACCACTAGAAAACCTAATGAGATATCAGTTAGGGCTTTCATCGTCAAACCGGACGGCCTGCTGCTACTGCTTCGCAGCTATGAGATTATGTTGGACACTCGCTCGGCGAATCCTTACGATAACGTAGCCTACTCGACGGTCAACGGCATCATTGGCATCTGCGTCGAGACCAAAAACAATCAGCTTATTTGCAGCCAGTTCGATCGCGACGGCAAGAAGAGGCTTGAGAAGTGGATATCGGTGAAGCGAAAGAACAATTACTATATCATGAATCTGCCCCGGCCCGGTGGTATGCTGCTGCTCAATTACACTTGCACAGATCCGGAAAACTTGTGTAATATGGTTGACTCGCTCACGATCTCGATATCGAAAATTGAAAGCTACGGAGCCATCGCGCGGGATATATTCAAAAGGAAGGAATTGTACACGTGCAACAAAAAGTTGTATCGGGGCGATGTACAGCTGTTCGATCTGGGCTTGGGCCACTACTGTTACACCCAAGTCTGCCTCGGCTACCCAAAAGACTCCAAAATGATGGATCCCTTGTTTTACCCAATCTGCTTCATTGAACAATCGAAGCAGGTAACCAATGATTTGAGAACGGGTTATGCGTACTTCAACTATCACTCCTACAAGAACACAACTCATCTGATGGTCTTCTGCGGCATACCGGCCCTCCGAAACGACAGCTTCCATTTGTGCGAGGTTAGCCGCTACGTTGACCAGCGCCTTCAGAAAACGTGCGAAGTCTGGCTGGACACGGGTGACATTTGGATCAAGCCCGAGCATATGCAGGTGATTCCCTTCAACGACGACAAGGCCATTTTGAGCTGGCAGGCATACGCCAACGAACTCCACGGAGCGTGGCGATTGCTGGTCGTCCACTTCGAGGACTGCTCGTCATATCAGCCCAACATGTACAAACATTTTTACGTGCCCACGAATATCATCGTGTACGACAATTGGTTCGCTGCGGTGGTCACGAGCACGATAAAGGGTCCGTGCGAGATGCCGCATTCGATCTTCAAAGTGAGCAGGTGTGAGTTGTTCTTCGATGGTTTAGGCGAGGATTTTAATGGGCCCCTGCTCTGGTGGGTCCAAGACGAACGGGACGATGACATGACGCTGGTGCCGTTGGAATACGAGAATTCGAAGCACCGCCATCTACTCATCGAAACCTCCACTCCAAACACCTCGAGCCCAGTAATCGCTTGCGTCTACTTGATCGACAATAGCGCCGTACTTCATCAGCTTGACATCTACGAGTTGACGAGCGAAAAATCAGCCAACCCACACGATGCTATAGCCTACTCGACGGCCAACGGATTCATCGGCATCTGCGCCGAGGTCCAAGGCGATCAGCTTACTTGCAGCCAGTTCGATCGGAACGGCAAGCAGACGCTCGAGAAAACGTTCCAGATAGCACCGAAGCAAGGATTCGCCGTGATAAATCTGGCCAAGCCTGGCGGTATGCTGCTCCTTCATTACGTTTGTACCGATCCTCAGAGCTGGTGCGAGAATCGAAACTCGCTGGTTGTCCTTGTATCGAGGATCGAAAATGACAAAGACACCCCCCAACCTGTGTTTCATAGTTTTGAAACGTATCAGTGCGACAGGCGGTACAATAAAGCCTCGGCGCAGCTCTTCATGAAGGACTCGGGCCAGTACTGCTTCACGCAAGTCTGCTATAGGAACCCGGACGATCCGGACAACTTCTACAGACCCGTGATTTTCTCGACTTGCTTACCCGAAAGGGCGCTCGAAGCTACCGCTGACCACAAGATGGATTTCGACTATGATGACGATGATTTTGTTTGATCACACATACCACACATTCCAGTCGATTGATTTTGTTTTTATTTAATTTGATACAATTTCACTCTTGTTATAAATAGCTAACATACGTTTTAATTTATTATGGGTACATACATTTGACATGTTTATTCAATGAAAGTAAATAAACAGTTTTTCAATAATTCATACATAGCTTATATAATTTATGAACAGACGTTGAAGCAACCCTGCAAATATACTAAAAAATTAAAATTTTTGAAAGTTAGGAAACAATTTTTAATTACAGCATATAACTTTACTTATTTCCTACCAATATCTGCAAATTGTCTGTTACGACGTTTGGTTCAAAAACTCGATTTCGAACCTATCCCAGAGATTTCTCACGAAGGAGGCAAAATATATCACACCCAAAAGAGAGACGATTTTCAATCGCATTGTAAACCCTTAAGTTGGACTATGTACCTAATGATTTAGATTTTCATTCTACGTAGTTATTTCAGAAGTACATAAAGTACATAAAAACAATGTTTGATGTCTTGATATATTGTACTTAAACTTTCGGTTATAATAAACTATTCAAATGTAAATTTTACACTTAAGAATTTTCGAGTATCGTCCGACGATATTTGGCTTTTTCTACTGATTGACTCACAAGCAGGCACACTTGGTGCACGCAACGGACTGGCGTTATATGGACTACGCCTGCTCATGTACATACATTTACTATATCCTGATGACTTGCTCATGTATACGCTATATACACGTATACATTCGAGGCTCAATACAGAAAAGGAAGAAGGCGAAGAAAGAGGGAAAATACGCATTCTCGAGGGACATTGCTCGCGAGCCGATGGTTTTTCGCTCTCTCCTATCTTCTTCATTTTTGCAGCCAAGCTGGGACTCTCTTTTCTCTTGCCCGGAGGAACAGCAGCCACAGCAGCAGCGGCAGCAGCAAGCAACAGCAGACGCGGCGACGGCGACCAGAGGGCTCTTCTTCTTTCTGCAAGACCTATTGTCTATTAAGACCTTCATCCGGCGCTCAATTTACCCAGGACGAAAGCAATCAATTGCCGGCTAAGTGAGAATTGATTGGTACGTCACACTATATAGATAATATCAAGACGCTTCTTCTTTTTTTATTCTCTCATGTACCGTGGTTATATTGCGCGCGTAATATGTGCGCCCTCGATGATGAAAATAAAAAAGGAGGTAAACTTATTTATCGAGTGCCTATCCGGATGGGACGAGAGAAATACTTTTAATTATCAATACCAACAGCATCTCTCTTTATTTTTCGCGCGGACTTGTATTATCGAACGTATTTATGAGTGATGTGCTCTCGGCGATGACGAAGCAGCCATGAAGTGCGAAATCCAAGAAAATATTATTTTTCTCTCTTTCTCTCGCACTCGCGCGTGTGTATCATATGTTGCAGCGTTGCCGGCGCGCGTATATGGACATCAAATTGACTGTATTATACAGACTGCGCGACTGCGCGACGCAAATACTCCCACGCGCACAGCGTAATAGTAGCGGAGGCAACTCTAAACATAGAAAGCTGGTATATAGCTTCGGGTAAAGAGCTTTAAGCCCCGGCACATATAGTGCTGCAGCGCCGCTCGCACTCAGAAACGTGTGCATGTGTGTTTATATGCTTTCATCGCGACTCGAGCACCATATACACGAGGGTGATAATATATTATCAGCCAATAAACTCAATCGCAGCTCTCTCTCTCACACACATGTATGCACACGACCACTCGAAACCTGAAGCTCGCGCATGGTTGCGCCGAAGCGAAGCGCACGAGTGCGCTCAGTATGTATAGCGCAGTACGATCTTATACCAAGGCGCGCGAACTAGCACACGTGTATGCTTGGATATGTGCGCGCGCGTATGTGTGTACGCTCATTGCGTGTGCACTTGCAAGCTTCGTTGACCTCGGGGCTCTCCGATGTGTATTATATACAGAGAGAGAGAGGCTGAATTTTTCCTATACGCAGCCATCGTGAACAGCGGCCAAGACGCGCCCGATCAATTATTGCCGAGTATTTATTACCCCCGCCCGATCGTCTCTCGCAGCGCGCAGAGAGTAACGAGAGAAGGAAAATGATAAATTGTTTCCTAACGTTTCGACGTACTGCACTAATGTGTACTGTTGTTTGTACCACAAAATACACAATATCTATCAGCAATATTATATCTGCCAAGTACGTACTATTATTGATTCGACGATCAACAGTTGATCGAATCAAGCGTTACCGTCGCCAAAGGGAAGAAAGCCGATGCACCGAGGAAAGGAGAAACAGAGAGACACAAACAGAGACAGAGACAGAGAGACAGACAGACAGAGAAGATACATCGTAGAGCAATTATACGGCAATTAGCCCGATAAGCACGGCTAAAGCTCGTGGCTGCGCGCACACAGCGCTATATTATGAATTGGGCAAGGGCAATGCTGTACCCTATAAGCGATCGAGCTTCTCTCTATCCTTTAATCGATTACCGGTGCCAGAGTAAGCTAATTTTGCGCTCAATCTGCACTCCGATTCACTATACGAGAAATTGTGATTGGCGTCGTATATTTATGTATCAGGCTTATTTCCCAACTTGTATGCAATCTTGCTCAGTGCTTTTAAAACTTTGTTTGGGCTTAAAAATGAAAAAAGCTGTAATTCTTTTATATAGTAATTTGCAATTTAATCAAGAAGACCATGTCAATTTTTCAAAGAAAGCTCATAAAATTCACACGTATCCAGGTGGTAATTTTCAACGTAAATGATGGTCTCATAAACAAAAACTGACCGTTTCAAATATTTTAAAATTATTGCCATTAATTGTCATGTTTTGCTCGATTTTTCATTGAAATCGTTTTAGAATTATTAAGCGCAATGTAAATGATCTAAAAGTAACGATTTAGTTGTTCTATGAAATCTGTACTAGTTCTCAACAACTTAAAATACGATGCTACCACATTACACTCCTATCACTAGATGGCGAGTACCATTATTTGTAAATCTGCAAGTGGTAAAGTGAAAATAATTGCATAAATCCAAGCAAGTCATCAAATAAGTGTTGTTTTAACATTGTTCTTTTATTTGTCTATAGCAATGTTATAATATTTTTCCTAATTAACGATATTGATCATTTAAACGAAGCTCGGGAAGCGCGGATAAAACTTTAAATAAGCATTCACGGCCAGTAGTTGCCGAAATAGCGTCGATATAGTGCGCATCGCAGTGGCCGATTCGCTATAACGTATAAACTTAAAATTCGATTCGCATCGCTTTGAATGCGAGAGAAACAGAAAAAACGCTCGGTGTGCAGATTTTTTTTCTTCCTCTTCGTTTCTTTTTGTTTTCTGTCTCAGGGGCCACGCGCACATTTGCAATTGTTTCGCATCTCCAGTACCGACATACACACGCGCACGCACACACGACAACGACGACGACGACGAGGAGCATTTTCAGCCAATTCGAAATTCAATCCCTCGTTTTCATCCTCGGCTGGGACTCTGCGCGCAACTGTACCTCCGATACATGGCACAGTACACACACTACTGCCGTGCACAGTAGCCAAATGCATGCGCGCGCGTGGATCTACGTTTTATTTTGCTCGAACAATACTCGACGACACAGAGGATCGTCGTCGATTATAATTCACGCAACGTTCGCGAGAATCTGAATTTCCTCCGCACTCACACACACAAACGCGCTCACATAGAGGAACGATTGTGTGATTATTTTCAAGCGTACATACGTAGATGTATATAAGCTAGCACAGATGATTATGGAGCAAGTTCATTATTCTTGCGCAGTCGTAAGCTAATTACCAAATTTATTTTACTCGACAATAAATGTATAAACCCACACCCCAATCCAACTCTGCACATAGAGAGAGAGAGAGACGAAACAAACGAAGTACAGCCTTGCAAGCTCGCACGGGAGAGAGAGCGAGGCAATTCCTGTGTATTATAGGATACCTTGGTCTACCCACGGAGTCGAATGTACGCGAGGGCATGCATAACAATGAGGGATACATGCATACGTGCATATAGCCCCCCAAAGCGATAATTATCCGTGAATATAACAAGACGAGTCGTCTGAATGGTGCATACATGCAAAGATACAATTCGCAATGTATATAGATTTGTATTGTACGTGGCGAGAGAAAAAAAACGAGAGAGAAATTATAAATTTACAAATTCGGCGCTTATTATTTGTTCGCCATCGCATTATGATCGTTGTATATACGTGCACGTAGAAATAGCCACGTTCGGATATTATGGCGCCTTAATTATATACGCGGGCGGGTTGCGGAGAGAGGTATATAATACGGCTGATTAATGCTGCGGCGAACAGCTATTTTTTTCCACTCAGCCGAATTCACGAATTGCCGCTGCTCGATATATACAACGAGTGCTTTGTGCAACGTCAGGCAGACAGAATGAGAGAGATATACATTATAATAATGCGCGGGCCGGCCAATCGACATTTTTACATTGAATAATAATATCGATTCGTCGTTCGGTTAATTTTCTCAGCGCTTTACCGAGCCAAAGTGCATTCGAGTTATAAGTATGAAACGACGTCGGCCCTGCTTCTCTCCTTCTCTCTCTCCATTAAAATATTAAAATCATCCGATCCCAGTCGGTGTATACGCGTTTACAAGCCCGAGCTATATCTGAAAGGCAGTCGCTGTATATGATAGCATGCATAGTAAAGCGCGAGAAAGCGAGACAGAGAGAGAGAGAGAGAAAGAGAGAGAGTACAGGCGCTCCCGTCATACAACATGCACGGGTCAAAGCTGCTCCATGCGACGACGCGAGAGGCGCGCGCGCGAGAGAGAGAGAGAGAGCAAAAATAAAAAATGAAATTTCATCGCGAGCGCGCGAGGAAAATTAAAGAGGAAAATGGACGAAGCTTGCGCGTGCTTTGGACGCAGCGTGTGATTGATTGACGCACCGCCGCCGTGCCGCCGCACCCTAGTTCGCCGCCGCCACGTGTATAGTCCCGTGTATTACATAGTTATGCCCAGCCAATCAACCTGCCGCCTTCTGCATATATATAGAGCCGAGCTATGTGGGTGCGAAAATTTTCCTCGCATCGCTTAGCGCTAAACCAAGGGTACAGAGCGAGTGAGGGAGAGAGAGAGAGAGAAAGCTCTCGGGCCTCAATGGCTTTATAGC